GTCTATTACAGCCTTTTTGGAGTCAAACAAAAGTTCGTAGAAGATTTCAGAAAAATCCGGAAAAAGGTCAAAAATGCTGAAAATTTAGATGGATCGAAGATTTCTTTGATCGATCGAAGATATTTTGGATCAATCAAAAATGTGCTGGCAGTGAGCTGTTTTATTCCCGTGCGCCCAAACTCTACCTACTACATAGTTACGGGATTAGATATTTTTATGGCTGAATTTCTGACTTAATGACTAAGAAAAGGACCTTTGTATTTAAAGAGAATTGAACCATTTTGTAAGGAGCTTTTATTATTATTATTATTATTTTACATTGTAATTTATATTTTTCTCTCTAGAAAAGTTAGAGATTAGGGTTAGAAGAAAAGAGAGGAGTGGAGGCTCCAAGAACACATCTCTAGATCTACACACACTCTCTCTCTAGAATTCAACAAAGAAGAAGAGGAAGAAGATGGAGCCATGTTTGGGGAATGCCTTTGAGGGTTCCAAGATCACATCCACCTCCTCCATGATTAGCTAGACTTCTCCTTGGGGCTTGGATGAGCCCCAAGTTTGTAATCTAAACCTCTATCTCTTTTATACTTTTTGGGGAATAATATCTTGTGATTAGTGCTATAACTTTGTGAATAAAATGAATCTTGGTATATTTCTATGATTTTTATGATTTAATTCTTCCTATTAATTCTCTAGTTTATTTACATGTCTATGTGTGATTAAATTGGGAATTATATCTTACATTATTCATATGGTTTAATTCTTCCTATTGATTCTCTTTATGATTACGTGTTGTCTTATGTGTGATTATTTAGGAATTGATCTCTACCCTAGTTTCTCTATGTTGGGTGCATGTCTATGTGTGATTAATTAAGGATCTAGTGATGGCTATGCATGGTATTCATTGAATGGGTTTGTCAATTAATTTGATAGATTATTCTTATGCTTGATGGGTTGTTTTACAATTTAATTTATGTTTGTAGGTAGGTAGACAATCTTTACTTGATTTGATATTCAATGGCTTATTATTGCAAATTCCATAATTCTCTAGATTGATGTGTGCTATAATTGTGACTAGTTTGATGGGTCATGCTTAGAATTGATGGGTTGTTCTACACTTAGTTTATTTGTTAGTTAGGTAAACAATACATACATGAATTTGATGGTCCATGCTTACTATTGCAATTGGTAGTCACATTTTGTTCACAAGAATGTTTTCCCCAAATTAGTTAAAAGTGTGTGGTTTAGTGAACGAGCTTGGTGGCAATTCTAATGCACCCCAAGACCCCACTTCTCATCTCTTAAATCCCTATCTCACTTTAGCTTAATTTAATTGCATTTTAATTTCCTTGTATCTTAGTTTAATTAACCAATCTCTCTCTTTGCAATTAATTGGTATATTAGAGTCGAAATTAAATTCCAACACGTATAATCCCTTGGGACGATCCCTACTCACTCTTGCTACGTTAGTCACAGTGGTGTTAGTGATTTTTATAAATTTAAACTTGACCTAAAAGGCTTTTCTTAAACTGCACATTCACTACATTATTTTGGCATATACAAGCGGCCATCTTTAACAAGTAAAGAATGCAACCAACGTAGAAAACACAGGCATTGGGCATAGATATGATAGCATGGAACACAGGTGTGGGTACATGAGTATCAATATGTAAAACAGTGAAGTTCAAACGATCATGGAAAAATGTGATCGATCCCATGTTGGATCGATCATGACATGTATTGGATCGATCGTGCTTTGAATAGTCAGAGCACTGGTGTGATCGATCGAACCTGCTGAAAGTTGAAAAGTCACCCATTCGTGACGTGGAAGATACGGGACGAATCCCAATGGTCACTTCAAGGGTCGTGACCCCATACACCTCAACACTGCACAAACGGTCACTTAAAACAGCACGTGACCCCTGAACCAAATTCGGAAACGAAAATGATATATACAAATATATACACATATATACGCACGCTCATAATCCCAAAAATGGAAACAAAATCACAAAAAATGAAAAAGGAAGCTTGAACTTACTGAGATTTGAGGAGAGAAGTGAAAATAGAGAAGGGATAAGGTCGGAGATGGAGGATTTGAAGCTTGAGACTCACCGGAGTCTCACAGGAGATGGGGAAGATAAATGAGAGCTTCAGGAGAGAGAGAAGGGTTGTCAATTGATGAAATGAATCAAATGACCCTTGGGTCTATTTTTTAAAATCTGTTCCCAACATGTGCAATCGATCACATGGTCCATCGGATCGATCGAACCTAGATCGATCATGAAGGTGCTCAGATCGATCGAACATGCAAAACGACAAACTATTTTTGAAATTTTTTAAATTTTTGAAAATTTAAAATCTTTTTGAAATTTTTTTTTTTTTAAAGTCAAAGTCAACTGAAGATCAAAAGGTAGGACTCTGAACGATTGGAGTAGCATCGATCGAATCTAGATCAATCCAAGGGTTCGAATGATGCACAGAGACCTGAAAATCTGCAGAGAAGTTCAAACGATGGGACAGAGACATGAAATTTTCAAAACTTAAAAAACTTTCTAAGTAAACTGGATTGATTGAAGTTCACTTGAAATGATTGAACAGAAAGTTTGAACGATGGATAGAGACATGAAATTTGCAGAGAATCTCGAATGATGGGACATAGACATGAAAAATTGCAGAGAATTGACTGCAGAGATGTTCGATCGATCGAAGGTGCTCTTGTGATCGATCAAACAGGCACTAAATGCCTAATTTGGGGATAAAAGTTCACACATTCCCTATTAAAACCTCAAAACAGAAATGAATGATTATAAATTGTATCTAGACGATGCAAGATTAGAAAATAAAAAGAAAAGAGGGAAGAGTAGGGTTAGAAAACTCTATGAAACACTAGTGTTTAACGTCTCTAGCAAGACGTTGGGCTCTTTTAGCCTTGATCAAAGATCTTGGTAGGCATCCGCTTCTTGATGGGGTGAATGGAACTTTGAATCCCACCTAACAAACTATTCCCTAAGGAACTCGTTAGATTTGGTTCAAGTAAAATTAAAGGCCTTTGGTTAACAAAACTTTTGGGCTTCCATGCCCGTTCAACACTAGACTTGAAAACAATACCTTTCAAAATTTCTTTTGAAGACAAATCATTTGATGTTTCAACAATAAGCAAGGACTCATTCTTTTCAAATTCATTTGTAAAACATTTTCAACAACACATATATCTTCATGATTGTCCATAGAGTTGGGGGTTGGATTAAAAATGTTCAACTTCACTTTCATGTGACCAAATGAGATTTTCATTATCCCCGTCCTACAATTGATGTTGGTATTAGTGGTAGCCAAGAAGGGACGGCCAAGGATAACGGGAATTTGGCTCTTAGAATTTGGGACCAGTTCCGTGTCAATGACAATGAAATTGACTGGGAAGAAGAACTTGTCAATTTTAATCAAAACATCTTCCATGATACCCCAAGGCTTTTTAATTGATCAGCCGGCTAGTTGCAAAACTATCGACGTCGGTTTCAAATCACCTAAGCCCAATTGAACATAAACCGAATAGGGGAGAAGATTCATACTCGCTCTTAAATCTAAAAGAGCCCGATTGATAACATGATCACCAATAGTGTATGAAGTGGTTAGTGAACCGAGGTCTTTAAATTTTGGGAGGGTGTTGTGTTCCAAGTTAGAGCTCACTTGTTCGGTTTTAATAACTTTTCTTGGTGCTTGGCTTTTGTTTTTCCTCTTAAGGGTGCAAAGATCTTTAAAAAATTTGGCATAAGCCAGAATTTGTGAAATTGCATCCAAGAGAGAAAGATTGATTTTTACTTCCCTAAACACATCACTGATTTCATTAGCCTTGCTTTGTTGCTTTTCAAGATAGGTGGATGCTTTTAAAGCATCCGAAAATAGAGCCTTAGGCTCAAAAGCTTTTTCAAAAACATCATTTGAAGCTTTTTCAACATTAGATTCTTTCACATTCAATGAAGGAGGAATATGATGTGAGATGGGACGGGTGTCAACTTTGGGTTGCACCGGTTCACTCTCTTCATTGGGAACACCAACTTGGCTGTCAATAACTCTTCCACTTCTCAAAGTGGTCATCACATTCACATGTTCAAGTGTATGACCTTCCAAAGAGGAATTCGTTCCCACAATGAATTGTTGCTTCGGTGGTGGATTCAAAGGCATTTTCTATTTTTCCCTTACATTCAATGTGCTAGCTATTTGCCTGACTTGGGTTTCTAAGCTTTGCAATCGATTGGGAGTGAGAATGAAGCAATTGAGTATTTGCCTCCAAAGTACCCAAAGCGGATAAGACTTTCTCTTCAAATGCGGGACTTCTTGAATTACCTTGAGAATATGATGATTGGTTTCCATTTGGTGCTTGGTAAGATAAACAATAACTTTGGGAACCTTGGCTTTGCATAGTGGGTGGAACATACTTGTTTTGGAAACCACTTTGAGGAGGGTTTGAGCCTTCCTCTTAGCTTTTCTAAGAGAAATTTAGATGGTTCCTCCACCAGGCATTATAGTGAGTGCCACAGGGATTATTCCCTTGGTTAACAAAAGCGGCATTTACTTGTTCATGACGTTCACTTTGTGCATGTCCATGGGGACAATTGGAAGTAGAATGCAAAACACTATAACAAGTCATGCATGATTCATTGGAAGAACAATGAGCATGATTAGGGGAGGAAAACACTTGATGGCCTGAATTTTGGTTGATCAAAAATTGACCAAACCTTTGGGATAAAGACTTCACTTCGGCAACTATATCATTAGAATTATCAACTTGATATACGCCTATATTCTTCCTTCCACCTACATTTCTACCATTTTTAGATGATAAAGATCGGTGCATGGAGTTTTCACTCATGCTCTCATATAGGCGCCACATATCATCTTCATGCTTATCAAGATAAGAACCACCCATAAAAACATCAACCATACCCTTATGGTTGTCCGACAAACTTTTAAAGAAGTATTGAACTAATTGCCATTTAGGGATGTCATGAGGAGGACATTTCTTAAGCAAATCATTTAATTGCTCCCATGCCTCATAAAACATTTCCCTATCCACTTGTGAGAATTCATGAATTGAAGTTCTCATTACATTGGTCTTATCGGATAGTACTTCTTCAAAAACTCTTGTTGCATCTCTGCCCAAGTAGTTATAGAAAAAGGTCTCAAATTGTTGAACTAATATTTTGTTTTATCTTTTAGGGTGAAAGGGAAGAGTTTTAATCTCAAAATTTCTTCCGGCATGTCTGTGTATTTCACGGTGGAACAAACTTCAAGGAATTCATCCAAATGCTTATAAGGTTCTTCATTTGGTATCCCATGGTAATTGGGAAGCATTTGGATTGTTTGTGGTTTAATATCATAATGGTGTGCTCTAAATGGAGGGAGTTGAATGTATGTTGGTGCATTATACTCATTAGGCACATAATGGTCTCTTAGAACAAGAGGACAATTCATAATTGGTGGCTCTACATGAACCCCATGATTTGCTTAAACAATGGGAGGATGCCTTGTTGGTCGATGCGACCAAGGTCTTCAACATGGTCCTCATTATGTTCATCCATTGATGAAATAGAGTCACTTAAATTACCCCTTCCCCTTAGATTACGAATAACCGATTCAATATTAAAATTCAATGAGACAAGAGTAGGATTCAAAGACCTACAACCATGCATGCATAATTAAAACAAGCAACAACTCAACAAATAGCAAGTAGCAAACACTTCTCCTCCGCAACAAGTCAATTAACAAGAAGCCTCCATATACATTGATTCCATACTCCCATGCTTTCAACAAATGCAAGAAAATAAATTGCGACCACACGGGGCGAAGATTTAAATAATCAAATAAGAATTGCCTATTTTTTTTTTTTAGCTTTTTATGTTTTACTTAGCTTAGCATGGCTTGCTTCTTTACTTTGAAGTTCCTTTGCTTCACTTTCCTTGGCTCCAAGTACCTAGCAAATTAAGAACAAACACAATAAGTAAACAAAGTAAAATAAAGTAAAAATAAGATCAAAGGAGTACTAATTCCCAATTAATTCCAAAATACGGTGTTGCAAATCCCCGGCAACGATGCCAAAACTTGGTAGTCGTCAACAACCAAAGCACAAAGTGTGATGAAATGTGTCCAAGTTTGAATTTGTAAAATGCCACTACTACTATTAACTACTACTAGTGTAGCAAGAATGAGTAGGGATCGTCCCAAGGGAAACGCAAGGTATTCCGGAATCAATGTTGGATTAGTAGGTCGAATGATCAAAAGAGGGGTTTCTTGGTTGAATTATACTACAATTTAAGCTAAAATAATGCAATGTAAAACAACTAAACAAATGAGGTATAGAGAATGAGAGAAGATTCTTGGGACATAGAGTTCACCACTAAGCACGGACACTCCTCCCAGGAGTCCCGTACCAGTGTCGGACACTTTTCGGACACCGACACCCATGTCCGAGGCTCGGACACGTGTTCAACACTTCTATGAAGTGTCCAGAAATTATTTTTATTAGACACGGCTCGGACACGCGGAGGACACGGGGTGGACACGACTCGGACATGAGGGGGACATGGCGGGGTATATTTTGTAATTTTTTTAAAGATAGGACACGGCGGGGTATATTTTGTAATTTTTTTTTTAAAAAAGATAAATGGGATACCTAATGTAATTTACTAATTTTAAAAGTTTAAAAGTAAAATTTAAAAAATAAAAATAAATAAATAAATAAACAACTACAGACAACAGAGTATTACACATAAATTTTATTTTCTCTCTCTTCCTCTCTCAGTCTCTCCTCTTCTTCAATTATCTCTCTACATGAACAAGACATTTTTTTTTTAAGTTACGTGAACAAGACTTTGTGAAAGACTGAAAGTATATATTTTCATTCATGTACATATTTAGCTTAATATAGCTATGTCTCTTCTGCACATCTTCGTTTGGAATTTGGATCAACTTTATTTTTCATTTATTTTCTGTTTTGTCTTGTCTATGTTTTTCTTATAACAGAGATGAAATTATTGAAATTGGTCATGTTATTTGTTGTTATTTTATTTGCAATTTTGTATTTATATATACCTGTTTGTTATTAGGAAAATGAATGTGCAAGGTTTTAGTTATTATATTTTGAATATATATATATATATATATATATATATAATTTTATAAGCGTATCCCGGCCGTGTCCGTGTCCTATTTTTTTGAAATTTGATGTGTCACCGTATCCGTGTCGTATCGTACCCGTGTCCCGTGTCCGTGTCCATGCTTCATAGCTTCTTAGACATTCAATATTTGATAGATTAGAGGATTATGTGTCGTAAAGGAAAGTGTGTGCCATTAATTGAAATATTAAACATGGATGGCCAAGTAGTCATCATTGTCTAATCAATTTAGTGAATAGTACAATATATCAAATTAAGCTATTAATCCTTCCATAAGCCCATAATTGATGCACGCTCAAGAATTAGAGAAATATACTACTTGTATTCATAAGTATGGAACATCAAACAATAAGAATGGATTGTCCACTTATCTAGGAAATTAAAGCAATTACACTACAACTATGCTAATGACAGAAAAATTAAACTAATTAAACTAAGGAGGTGGCACAATCCATCAAGAAATAAGTATGAACCATCAAATAAACCACAAGAGTAATCAATGAAGCACCATGCCTTAACCATCATTAGATTCATAATAGCAACACACATAAACATGCATCAATGTAACAAAATCTAGAGAAAAACACATGAACATTTATTCTAGCATTCATAGTCATATGGATAGAATTAAATGATCAATTGAAAGCATTAAACTACACAAATCATGTAGAAACAAGATTTATATAAATATAAGGTCAAAACAAGAATTACAACACAAATCTCTATTAATTACAAAATATCAAAAGTCTAGGAAGCATGCTTAGGGCTGTCTCTAGCCCTAAGAGAATGGTTTAGCCACTCATTGATGTTGTCATCCAACCCTCAAAGGATATCTTCATGGTTGAATTCATCCTCCTCCCTTGGTGTTCTTTGTAGAAACCCTAGATGAGTGGAAGAACTTTCCCAAAATGTATATTTTTCTCCCTAATCTCTAGCCAATTCTCTCTCTAACTAACCAACCTCTTACTAAAAATGGCTAAATTCCTTATATAGTTAGCTCAAATGTCACACCCAATGGTCAAACCTCGTGCACTAGGACCTCCAAATGATTGCACCACGAGCACACCTTCAATTCGGCTTGAAATCTGTTTTGCAAGCAATTTGAGGTTGTTCGATCGATCACATAGTTGCTCTGATCGATCGAAGTATAGTGGCGCACTTTTTGGATAAGGACAAAGGCTAAGATATTTTTAGGAAAAGGACAAAAGTGGTTGGTGAGGATAAGATCAAAAGGTTGGATCGATCGGATGAAAGGTTGGATCGATCGAATAAGAAATTTTTCTGGGGATAAGGACAAAGGGCTCGAGCCATTATGGCAGGGTTGGAATGATCACAGTATGATCGATCATAGCTTGGTCCGATCGATCGAAGAGGAAATTTTCACCACTTTACTTCCACTTTACTCCTTTCTTCCGCTAGACTTCAGATTGTTTCTTTTAATGCTCTAATTTAGCTGAATTGACTTATTTTGGGGATAAATGTTTGAAAAGGGAAATAACATGAAATTAGACTAAAATGGGAAAATAAGATAAAATAAGGTCCTAGAACATTCAAGATTAAGTGGTTTAAATGTGCATTTTTTAGCGCTTATCACCCTAATTCTTCATTTGTTGCTGTTGTTGGAGGCCTATTGCTACTGTATTGCTATATATATGTTACATTCATCATGTTTATCATTTGAGTATGTCTGTATTAAATATCTAAGGCTATGGGATTAATCTTAGAATTTGAGGGACATGAATTTCCAATTATACTCCTCAAACCCTAACTGGTGCAGAATAAGTTCTATTGGGTGTTGTATGTTACTTTGAGCTACATAACCACTCTTATCTTCTATGTATGCTTAAGTATTATTATTGATTAAACATTTTATTGTATATTGTGAGCTGTGAAATCTAACAGGGTCCAAGCATAGTTACTTAGGACAGGGGGAGTGTTGTTGAGCTAATGTGTGTGTGGAGGCTGTGAAAACTAGCGTTTCAACTTGTACAAGAGTGTGAGATAGATAGGTGTGTAACTACTTACATATAACTAGTGGAGCTTTTATTGGCTGAGGCCAAGAGCCAAGGTTTTTCTCTATTGGGAGGGTTCTCCTTATAAACCTTGTGTCATAGTATATTTGTTTTATATTGTAATTATCACTGTGCTTAAAGAATAATTTGAAACAGACCAATTCACCCCCCCTTTTAGTCCAAAAATTGGTATCAGAGCTTTGGTCTGCCTTTTTAAGGTTTTAACTAACCTACAGTAGATCCCTTACAATGGATGAAGGCCAAGCTACAAACAAAGCACCTGGATTTGATGGTTCCAATTATGATTTATGGAAAACAAGGATGAAAGCTTTTATAATGTCTCAATCTTATGATGTGTGGTAAGATACAATCATTGGCATTGTGGTTCTCAGTCTTAACAACCCTTTAGCAGATGACAAGGAAACCTTAGCTAAGAGCTAAACATGTTCTGTTTTGTGCTCTCAAATAACAAGAGTCTACCAGGATAAAAAATTGTAAAACTACAAAGGAAATGTGGTACTCACTCAAGGCTGCTCATAAAGGTAATAATTTGATAAAGTAGAACAAGATTCAGTTGCTCAAAGTCTAGTATGAAAGCTATAAAATGGAAGAAAGAGAAGCTATCTCAAATTACTTATTCAGGATCAATGGAATTGTTAATAACATGAAGGCTCTAGGTGAAGATATAAAAGACTCTAAAGCGTGCAAGAAGATTCTTAGTACTCTAACCTCAAGGTTCAATGCTAAGGTCACTATTCTTGAAGATAAGGACTTATCTCAGATGAAAATTTGTTGATCTTCAAGCCTCACTTATAGCCTATAAGATGAGGATTACTGTCCTTACTCAACATAGAAGAGAAGCTGCTCTTAAGGTTAAAAAAGTTATTGAAAAAGGTAAACAGAAGTCTGATGATGATGACCTT